GTGGAGGACCACCTGGGTGGTTCTCCTTGAATGAGGAGCAGTTGTCTCCATTTGGGCTGAACCTGACCCTGTTTCCATGCACTGCTGTGTGCAGAGCTGGCTGGGACTTTTCCTTATCTCTTTGATTAGCTTTAAGTAATGCATATTGGTCCAGCAGAGGTGCTGATGTGTGGTCTTTGAAGATGGCAGGCAGTGTCCCCATCCTGTTGTTCCCTTGTGTGAGCCAAGAAGAGCCAAGGGTCCACTCTGTCAGCTGGGATGGAGCCTCACAATAGAGGCTGTTACTTCCTGGGGCTTTGGAGGCTTACGCATCAGAGCTGAAGCACCAACCCCACCACATTAGCTACTGTATCACTTGTGTCACACAGGTCCCTCCTTCTGCATGTTGCAGAGGTGCTTTCAGGCCTCCCACCCAGCCCAGATCACAGCACTTACCCACTTCCTGCCACTCTTAGGGTCACTCGTCCTCCAGCCACTCCCTTCTTCGCAAATGAATAAAACTAGGGTTGGGTCCTGGGTCAAGACCTTTGTTCTGCACTTGATCTTAGCCAAAAGGCCGAGAAGCGATAAGACCTTTGTTCTGGATAGCCATCTGCATGGCTGGACTCAGGACAGCCTCGATTCCCCACAAACAACTTTTAGTTATTGGAATTCTAGTGAGTTCATTTCAATCTACTACTTCCAGCGCAACCATAGAGTAAATAAAGATAATAATATTGGCCAGATGGTGTGTCAGGTTGTGTTGGAGTGCACCAGACTTTTCCTGGGTGACGGAAACCCGGATATATGGGAGCAGAACTGCAATTTCAGGCTGGAAAGAAAGGCACCTTAAATAAACGACTGTACAGTGGGCTCTCCCCACTCCACTGTGAGCTGATCAGAGGCGAGCAGACTCCAGCGCTTTCTCTGCAAAGGAAGGTGTCCTGTCTTGTTCAGTCTCATTCAACAGGCAGCTTGTCCTGTAGTGCCCAGCTTCTATAAAGGAGCCCTTCCTGTGCCTCTGTCACCCGGACTTCCTCAGTCCAGCTGTCTGAGCTGTACTCAATTCTGAAAGGACAAATCCCAGGAGTAAAACTTACAGGAGCTGAGAACTCCTCGTGTCTTAGCCCATGATTTTTAGAGGATTCATGCTACACCTGATGGGCTCGGAGACAGCGCAGGCACAGTGGAAGGGCCTGGGTGGGGTACAGCTGCTCATTTCATGGGAACCAGGAAGCAGGGAGAAGGCAGGGCTGGGGAACTGGTGTCCCTGCCCACGCTAGGTCCGCAGTGATCCCCCTCTTCCACTAGCCCTGCCCCCAACGACCTGACCCAGTCACTTCCCCACCCATGAGGCTTTTGCACCCCCACAGTCTCCATCCTCCCTTACCTGGCCAAGTGTTCCTCGAAGGTGACATTATTCCTGGTGGCATGTAGGCCTGTGTTTACTGTTTGCATGGTCACCCAAGCTGACCTCCCCCACAATATGGTGGCCAGGAGAGTTTTGAAGAATCCCTCTGGGGCATGAATCCCTATATATTCTAATTTTGTTATTTGGGGGTAATTTTTTTTTTTCAATGTGAATGTATTACGTTTACTGAAAAAAATGTTAGTCAAGCCAGAAGAAGTGTACGGAGTATTTTTACCAAAGGGAAAGACTACATGCTTTCTCTTGAGAGTCTGGGTCACCCAGGTTCACGTCCTCCATGGATGGGTGCTAGTTTGTACTTTCTGAGGGATGCATGTGGCCCATTCACCTGACGCTCACTCACTTTAGTGACTTGCAGGAACACGGGAATAAGCGAGGGCGACTTCCCAGCTATGTTGTCGCAGAGGGCTTTCTGAGTCCTCACCCTGGTGGAATTATTCTGACATTTTCCATTGGTAACGAGAAGGCCTTTCTCATCATTTTTCTCCAAGTACAATTAAAATGTTCTTTTCATCAAGTTAGATATTCTATTAAAAGGCTGAAGAGGAGTAAGTACAGAGTGAGGCTTGGGACCGTCTTCTGTAAAACACGGCATTAGTATCGTTTCCTTTTGGCTCCTAAATAAGCTTTCTAAAAATATAGTCAAGGGCTGTCCAAATAGCTCAGTGGACTAAAGTGCCTGCTTAAGCAGATACAGGGGCCAGCGGTTTGATCCCCCGGCCTGCCATGGTGGCACCTCCCCTGGGGCATGCTGAGGTGGTGATTGAGAGTATGCGTGGTGGCACACACCTGTAATCCCAGCACTTGGGAGGCTGTAAGCAGGAGGATCACTACTAGTCAGATCTATGCAGTGAGACCCTGAACACCCTGTAGATCCTTCCCTAAAATAAAAACAAAACAAAGCAAAACAACAACAACAAAAAACCACTTCCCCCCCTGAAAACCCCCAAAACCAAGCTGGGCTGCTCAGACATACTTACAAGAAAGAAGTGAATAATTTGAAGTGACGGCTATTCCTCCAGTGTCCCCTGTACATTAAAATTCTTATTACATTAAACAGAATCTTTTTACATTAATATTAAGAAAATCAAATAATTGGTACTTCTAAATTCGGTTTTTCCTCCTTCATTTCCTTCATGTGTATAAATTAGGCTGAATGTCATCACATCACTAGTAAGAATTTTTTTTGAGACTTTTCAAATATACAGAAAGGCCACTGAGCTCTTCCATTGCTGTAACACTCAGCTTTCTGACCTTTTGATTGAAATGTGCATTTTTAGGAAAAACTATGCCTAAGAAACAAATGCCTTATTATTCCTCTTGGGAATGCATTTGCGTAATTGTGCTGCTGTGGTAAGAACCAGGAATTCAATGCAGTAAGTGTACATACAACATAGGTAAATTGAATTATCTTTGGCGTGAATGGTTATTATCTATTTTCTCATGTTGAGTCTTATCAACTACAGTGAGTTTTGGTCTCCTGAGGCCTGAAGTCCCATATAATTTTGTCTTTATCAAGTAAATGTACAGATACTGTATCTGAAACTACAGTGTCAAAGTCCCATGTAGAGGAAGACACTTTTTTTTTTTCCTTATTGAAAGTGTTTTATTATTACTTTTTCTTATTAATTTTATTGAGAAACAAATAGCAATGAGATAGTTTCAAAACAGGTTAGTAGGACAGTTGCAATAATTAATACATTGCGTATTGTTATCTTCATAGTAGTTATTCATAGTACAAGATGCAGACTTGATATCTTGTCCACAAACACTATTAGTACAAATCTTTCTTATTGAATTAAGAGAAAGTAGCTGTGTAGCTATCCTAATTATTTTGTATATATAGGTACAAAATGGTCCTTCATTTATATCCCCTTTTTAGTTTAGTTTGGTCAGAGATGGGTATTCCATTGCCATTTAAATATTGTAGGTGTGTGAATTCAGCAAAATAATTCAATATAGTCCAGTAGTCCATAATAGTAGTGGGTTATCTGCAGGACTGGCAATGTCAGAAGTTGTTGACTTGAGCCTTTAACAGCTCAGTGTATTAATATGGCTTTACTTTTTATACCTTATTTTTATACTTTTCTGCTGGATGGCTAAGACCAAGATCAAGTAAGACCTATAAAACAAGAAATGTTACTTTTGTGTCTACCAAGGTCAGTCAGATCCCCTCAGGACTTCCTTTTCTTTGAAGGTTATTTTCACCGGGCTCACGACTGCCATCATTGCCGCTCTGATCTCCGTCTTTATCCTGGACCATGATGTGCTAAGCAGGGCATCTTTATCCTGGACCATGGTGGGCTAAGCAGGGCTGAGCAGGTGCCTTCTTCCCACCTCTCATACCACCTAGTTGGCACAGGGTTCAGTGCTGTATTTCTCATCTGAGCATGGGAGAGGCATTGCCCTGGGTACAGTGGTCTGTGACTCGCTGTGTTTCCTTCTTGGATGATGTCCGCATGTTTCCCATTTAGTTGATCTAAGTCTTTGGGTAAAACAATGGCCAGCTAATGGCCTTGTCTCTGTATGCGTAGTCAGCCAGGCCTAGAGTGAAGGATATTTAAGTTACCTCTGGCTTTTGTGGATTGAAAGCTGTACCCCAGTGAACAACCCGGACAAGTCCACCTATTCATAAATGCATGTTTTAAAAAGACTGAGATGGATGCCTTGGACTTCACAAGCCATTGTGCAGTGGTGCAGTAAGACCACAACATGAGTGTGTCTACAACCAGGGCTCAGGCAAGAACGTGGCTGGGACCTGCTTTCCGCTGCACCCCTTCCTCTTGTATGCATGTCCCCACTTTCCCTTCACTGTTCTGATGCCTGTCCTGCCAGGCCATCCTCTCTCTGGAGCTGCCCCTGCCTTTGTGGTGCCAGGGCAGGCTGCTGGCTGCTCCTGGTCCAGCTGGGGAGCTTGCGCTGTGAGCCCCCTTGCCTCCCTCAGTACCTGGTACAGTGACCAGCAGAGAAAGGAAGGCAGTTGGTCTAGCAGACAAGGTTTATGTCTGATGACAGGGACAGAACACCCAACTCCAGCAGCTTACAGAGGAGCAGGGATAGCTCACCAGCTTCCCAGCACAGGAGGGACTTCTCCACTCGCTTCGTTCATGGGGCTCCACCTCATTGTCACATGGTCCTTTGTCGTCCTGCCTCCTACTTCTCAGTATCCCCTCAGGAATCGTCCATCTGTTCAGCAAGTATTGAGTGCACACCTACTATGTGTAACAAGTAGTGTAGACCCTGGAATGGAGCAAGGAATAATGCTGCACGCCTCAGCATACTCTATGGATTCTCCATCAGGTTTCTGACAGACACCTCACGGGACTGTGCCCTACTGCTCCGGGGTTGCGGCATGCCATGGAGCTCTGCCCCACGGGGCTGCTGGGACTGGGCTGAGTTCCAGGGAGTCTCCCCAGTGCACCGCAGCCAGCAGGGTGAAGGCTCACTGTGCGCTGCCCGTGGTGCCACTTGTGGGTGTGAGGAGGAGCTAGCTCCACAGCCCCAGGACCCCCTGGGGTCCTGCTTCCCTGCTCAGGCAGAGACTCACAGCCCCTGTATTGCTGACCAACTGCTTTCTCTCCTTTGACTGCAGCTCCAGATGAAGATGAGCGAGCGGGCGGCCTCGCTGAGCACCATGGTGCCCCTGCCCCGCAGCGCCTACTGGCAGCACATCACTCGGCAGCACAGCACGGGGCAGCTCTACCGTCTGCAAGGTGAGCTGGGCTGTGGGCCGTCTGGACCATTCTGGTGCGGGACTCCCCTTCCTCCCCAGCGGAGGTCACCACTAGGCCTCAGGACACAGGGCACTTCCTCTTCCAAAAGCCCTGGTCCTCAAGTAGTCTATCACCAAGTGCTAGAGAAACTTTAAAATGCGGATCTTTGAGTCTTTAGCCTCAGAGAGTTTGAGGATGGACGGTGTGGCTGAGCCCAGAGTCTGGGTGGGTGACCTGGGCCCGGGCTTGGAGAAACTGTGTGCTGGGGTAGACACCCTCAGCGTCTCTAGAAGGCTTGCTAGACATGCACCTTGCCAGGGCCCTCGCCCTGGAGAAGGGAGCTCGGGTGGGGCCGGCCAGCTGCTAGAAGGAGCCCTCTCAGGGGTTCTGTTTGATCCCCTCAGAAACCACTGTTCAGGGGGACAGGTCCCTGGGGGAACATGGGGAATCCCAGCTTCTGGTTCCCCTGATGACTTAAGTAAATTTCAGAGTTCGCCTCCATAAAGGGGTTCTGAGGTGGGGTACAGACTGGCTCACTGGGAAAATAACAAGTCTGATTGAACACTTGGCACAAGCCCTTTCTTATAGCACAACGTAGGTCACTTAACACCACACAGGATGAGCTTATGGCTGCGAAATCTAGAAGCAGATCAACAAATAACCCCAGGCAGGAGAACCTGCGTGGGCACTTTACACCCCTGAGCTATAAGGGTACCCAGGGCACTTGCAAAGCTGCGCTAATCGGCCCGCGCAGGCGGGAATGACAGAGCGCAAAGCACAAGGGTATTGGTGGTTCAGGTCTGCTTGTGTCACCTAGCGTCCGTTCATCTTCTCCCCATGGTCACCTCTCCCCATGGGTGCCGCACCCCTCCCCTGCCCCCACCCACGCCCTCCTGCTGCCCTAGTTCCCTCCTGCTCCTATCGGGTCATCCCTGCAGACCCCACAGACTGCGAGGCACCCTCCCGCTTAGGAACTGTAACTACACTGCAATCTCCGATTATGTGCAGGAAACGCGGCTCCTCGGTGCCCTTAGGAGGGGCTGTATTTCACGGCCGGGGCGAGGCCACGGGGGCCGTGGCTAGCTGCTCCAGCGTGCGGTGAAGTCAGGGTGGGCGGGAGAGGGTGCCGGGGTGGGGGGGTGGGTGTTTCATCTGCATCTTCCTGGCCTGGCGCCTCGCAGGCGTGGCCGCCCCTGAGCGCTTGGTGAGGAGCTGAGAGATCGGCTGAGTGGGGACCAAGGAGAAGGCGCCCTTTCCAAGATGCACCTGCAGAGCAGGGTTGGATCAGGCTGTCGCAGGTGTCATTCATTACCAGTGTGGCTTCGGCACTCTGAGTGGTGTTTGAGTTCTAGTACACCAATTTTTGCCATATACCTGCTACTAGGAAGATTAGCCTTTTTATTCTCTTCTGTTTAAATACATTTGCATATTTTAAAAATCCATCTTACTACTTGGATGCTGCTGTGGCCATTGGTTTTATTTTGCGAGTAGAAAGTAAGATAAATTCTAATTATTCGAATTTTAGATATGCACACAGTCCATCTAAAATTATCTTACCAGACTGGGTTATTGATATAAATAATGAGAAAAGCTTATGTAGTTGTCAGTCGTTACCACCTCTTCTCTTTTTGTCCACCTGGAACCCCCTAAAAAAATAAAAGAAATTGAGAAAGTAGTCCTGTGTTAGTGAAATATAATTTATGTGTTTTGCTGAGGTTTATGGCTCTAATTCTTCGGATAAAGTCACCTGTTTTGATAGAGCAAAAGCTGATGTTTCCTGGCAGATCTGGGAGCTCAATCGTAGGCCTCATAGAAACCCTTCTGAGAGAATTTATCAAACTCATTTGAGAAAAATTTTTCTTTCCTCCCACATTTAGTCCTAGCGCGCCACCTACTTGCAGAGTTTGGAATTATTTTCTTACTGACTTGTGGGTAGAGACGCTGGTTTTGACTCTCGAGGCGAACACAAAGACACCCAGTATTTAGTTTACATTCTGTGCTCGTTCCACTTCATTTTCTGATTTTCACATGGAAATCCTCTTTGTGTTCAGCCATGTATAAAATCAATATGAGAAGTGTTTTTTTTTTTTTTTTTTTCAGAAGCAGGGATTGAACTCAGGCCCTTGTGCTTGCCAGGGAAGTGTTTATTCTACTGAGCCATCTCCCCAACCCTCAAGGGAAGTGGTTTTAGGATGAAAATCGGAAGACATTTATGAAAGAGAAGCATTCAGCAAATTTTCATTAACATTAAATCCACAGGATTCGTTTTCGAAACGCCTTAGATAAAAGTGTAAGGGCAGGGTTTCCACAGGTGCTTCATGGAGTGCTGACATGGGCATTTAGCACCCCCTTTCCCCCCACAGAAGGTCCTGTGGTCAAGCACATTTGGGGGAAATCCTGCATTCTAAATTCTTCTTTTGGAGGTTCTGGATACAAAGCATTATTTTCAGGGCTCTGATATATCACACAGCAAGTAATTTTTTTAGTTCCACTAAAATTCTGTACATCGAATTGAACAGTACTCCTCTGTTCTCCTTTTTAAAATAAGCAAACACAAACATACTGCCTGTGAAGAGCTGCAATCCCCTGTCGGTTCCTTGGATGGGGACAAGCTGTATTTGGTGAGTAGCTTTCCAAAAGCTGCTCCTTCGGGAACCTGCTCTGTGCAAGGCTTTGCATATGCGCCCGACATACATGAGCCTTCTACAACTCAAAGCAATTCCCTGGGACATTTTATTTCCTCTCGCTACTTGTGTACTAAGTAGCTAAGGTTCAAAGTTTTCATCTCTGTCCATTGATCCACTTCCTCACACATTACCCAGTCAAAGGATATCAGACACCTGTTTTGTGCCATGCACTGCCGGGGGTGGCAGACAGACACGGCCACTAGCCAGGCACACTTCTTTTCTCCTAGAGTTTATCGATGGAGAGTCACAGGCAATAATTATGCCAACATTTAATTTAAAATGTAAAGATTTAAAGTATTTGTAGAAAGTAAAACAAAGTCATTGGTTTGGCGGAGACTGACAAGGGGACGTTTTGGGATGGAGTGGCCTTTGGAAGCCTCAACTTTTGCCCTTTTGTCAATCTGGATGAGGCAGCCATGCTGGGAGTTGGGAAGAAGCATCCTCCATAGAGAAATGAGTCAGCTCGAGGCCTCCAGGGAAGAGATGAGCTGAGACTGAGACAGCAGGAGGTGCTGGGTGACCAGGACCTGCAGGGCACAAAGGGACAGCTGGGTACCATTGCAAGCAGGCGAAGGTTGCTCTTCCTAAGCTCAGCGTGGTGGTACATGCTTGTAATTACAGCACTTGGTGGGTCAAGACAAGGAGGAGCATGAATTTGAAGTTAGCCTGGGTTATGTAGCAAGTCCAAGGCCAGGCTGGGTTACATAACAAGAGTTTGTCTCACCCTCCACTTCTACTTCTTTCAACAAAGATGTTTTATTTCTGAGTGTTTGGGCATCCCCTAGAGTACTGAGCACAGGAGTGTTTGATTTGGTTCATATTTGAATACTGAGTTGCAAAGGCACAAGAAAGGCAGCGGGCATGTGACGAGCTGCGGGAGTCTGACCTCAGCACAGTGCTCCTCCCCCCTGCCCTCACCTCCTTCTCATTCATCGCCATGGGAACCTCTACCCTCATGCCCGAGATGCTCCTGGCTCTGGTATTCCCAGAGCCCTTCTACCAGAGTAACTGTGAAGCTAGCACTACTTATTCTAAAAGAAATCCAATGAAAAATAGCCACCTCTGTCAGTATCAGGTAGAAGATGAAAGAATGGTCCCAAATATGTGTCTCTTTGCTAGCATCTTCCAAGAGAGCTTTTTGGGCTCACTTGGCAACTGCTGGGATTGCAAGAGCAAGCCTACCCTCTCCCTGTCTATGAGCGAAGAGACAGAGACCCCAGGCACAGGCCTAGGTCCATGCAGGGGGTGGGTGGAGGAGATGGCTTCAGTCGCTGGTGCTCTGAGCCTATTGCTGCTTTTGTCAACAAATAGTCTTACCTGCAAGAGAAAATCTGCCCTGTGGGTGATTCCAAGTAAATGCACCCTGAAGCCACAATGTCACTCAAGGATTGGTTTGTTCCAGTCCATGCTGTTTGCATATTTATTTCAAGGATAGATTGTTGGAGAAGTAGTTTCTTGAGAGAAGTTCACATTGTTCATGAGTATGAGTCTACCACTCTCACATACACTGTAAGGATAGCAGCTAAGGAGAAGCCGCTGAGGAGGAGCTGATAAATGTAAAGACAGGACAGATGACCCTGGGTGGCTAATCCAATGGGGATTAGCAGGCCAGGACAGGAAGTGAGTGAGATAGGATGGTGTGGGGGTGGCAGGTCCCAGGGAAGCTCAAGGGGAGCGCAGACCTCATCTGAGAGAACACTCACGTGCTTTCCGCGTGCTGCATGTGGCAGTTGAAAGGGCCTGCTTTCTTCTGATTTTCCAAGACAGCAGAGAAACTGGCACCTTTGCGTGAAACCTTCAGTCTCTTGAATATTGACAGACGGTATCACCCCATCTAGGAGCCTGGGCCTGTGCAGGCCAGCGAGTCTGTACCTGCATGGAAAACCCTTTCATCCATTTCCTATGCTTAAGCTGAACTCCACTTTCAAACCCAGCTCCTGAGCTTCACTTAGCCTCCCTGCTAGATTCAGGACCATTATCAATCTGTAATGAAGGCGGTATGGACGCTCCCTTCTAGGACTTCCACCCATTGGGACAGGGTCTGTGTGTTGAAGAGAGAGGAGCGGAGCTATGCAAACTCACTGGAGCTCAGAGGCGAGCCCTCATCCTCTGGGACACTTCAGTAGTACCCACTGTTGTGTGGTGTGTCATTGGTTGTGTCAGTGGCTTTTGGTCCTGGGACAAGACTTGCAAGAACCTGAAAATCATGCCTGTGATTGTTTGGTATCGGGATTAGAGTATCGTAGATAAGGCTTTAGATCTCATAAAGCACACTGCAGATTTTTTAATGTTCTGTAATATGCAGATTTTTTAATATTCAGTAATATGCATATGCATGTAGATGCTTTTCTTCCTTCCATTGACCAGAAATGAATCTTCTTTGTTTACATCCATGCTTCTGGCATGAAGATTGGAGGAGCTTTGGGACTGAGGACTGATATCAGTCAGGGCTGATTGTGAAAACAGAAATTAGGCTTGAGAGCCACGAGCCACCATCCATTGTTTTTAGAGCCATGAGCAGCCATTCACTGTTTTGCTTGTTTGGTGATTGAAAATAACACTGCTTTGAGTGCAGGAGGGCCGTGTGAGTGGCTCTGGCCACAGCACTGTCCTGCCTTGTCCTGTGCACCCTCGATGCTCACACTGGGCACTGAGGTTCACCTGCCTGTTCTGTTCTGTTCAGTCTCAGAGCTGATGAGTGTGAATTTCTGGCACTGCAAGTGTGAATTTCTCTGGATGTGTCAACCCTTAGGCAGCAGGTGGCAGTAAGACATCTTGGTTTTGTAAAACCAGAGAGCTGAGCCTACAAAGATGTGCCAACTGAGGCCTGGGGGTGGCAGGAGTCCAGGCTGAGGTCTGGTTTCCTTAATAAAGTTTTATTGGAACTTCATGGTCCTTCATTATGTAGAAACAATGGCTAATTTTGTGCTGCAAGTGTCTAACTAGTATGTGGCCCTTTAGAAAATATTCTAACCCATGTCACTTCACAAAGGAGGGTTAATAGTTCTTGATTTTTTTGTCTTTGCTTTGAATCCCAAACCCGAAATTATTTTAAAACAACAATTGTTGACTTCAAGATGTACACAGAGTTCACAGTACAAAGGCCCTAGGCAAATAGTATGTTAATTGTGGAATCTCTTAGGACTCATATTTGCATATCCCCATGAGTGGTGTTAGGAAAAATGTCCCAGCACAACATGCTATTTACAGGATGCTGTTCATTTCTGTTAGGTAAGTACTTGTTACTAACTTGATTGCAAGCTTTGATGAAACCTAACTTGCTTTTATGTTCTTTATGGAAAAGATGTCACCAGCCCGCTGAAGCTTCATCGAACAGAGACTTTTCCTGCCTACCGGTCTGAGTACTGATGGTACCTGCCAAGGATTCTTAGTGCTCTTGTGATGTGTCAGCCACAGATCCACGTGGGAAGCCACAGAATGGCAGCAGGAAAAGCCACAATGAAGAGAAGAAGCTCATAAAATCCTGGCTCATTGTGTGGTTGTTGGGAAACTGCAATATGATATACATTTTTCCTTTTCCTTTTTTTTTTTTAAATGAAAGTCTTAGCTTAATTGAGGCATACTCTATAGATACCAACGTTCTTTTTTTCCCCTCAACAGCTGGACAGAAAGGAGTCAGTACCACAAAATGATTTTCTATTGTAGATACTATGTCTCTTGCGCTTCTCTGAATCTGTCCTTTCGTGGGTTTGTGTGATTTTTCTTTCCGAGTGTTTCAATTGTATGACAGTCAGTAGTGACAATAAAATGACTCTTCATTATTTGTTATTGATTTATATGCTGTTCCTGAGTTATTAGTTTTGTGGCTCTGGTTAGCTATTGGGAATCATATTTAATTAGATTACCAATTAGCCAAATCAGTACTTGGACTCACTCTTACCTGTTATGTTCAGAATGTTTCTTTTTTATTTTTTTATTAGCACATGTTTGCAACGTAGAATCATTGCACTCGTCTTGGGGGCTTAGTGCACGTAGATCATACACGTACATACTGCAACGGAACCCTTCTTTCCTTCCTTTCATCCTTCCATCCTTCCTTCCTTCCTTCCTTCCTTCCTTCCTTCCTTCCTTCCTTCCTTCCATCTCCCCCCTTCCAAGATGCCCTCTCTCTTCATAAAGCCTGCCTCCCTATTTCCTATCACATGTTACTTTGCCCTTTAATTTATTTATATTGTTTTTTTTCATATAACAGAAGCCATGAAATATTTATCCTGTGGTATCTTATTTATTTCACTTATATCTCAAGACATATCCACTTTCTTATGAATAACCCAAGTTTGCCCTTCCCCATGGCTGAGATTCCACTGGGTATATTTTTATTTTCTTTTACATATCTGTTCGTTCAAGGGACCCTCCAGGACTATTTACAAGGGCTCAGTTTTATACTCCCTTTGCTCCCTTTCTTCCCCCTTTTGAAGTCTTAATTTTGATTAGATTATCTTCATGAAACCTTTTAAAATGAAAGAGCATTCCTCACCCATGTCATCTTTGGATTCTGGCAGGCCAGTCTTCTCTCTGAAGCATGTATGAAGAAAAATGTCCCTACGAGCTATGAGCTCAGTTCTTCATTAAGCCAGTCTGTTCTGAGCTCGTGGGAGTTCCCAGTCCTTTCTTGGACCCCAGGGGTGTGGAAATACAAAGGCTCAAGCTCCGTTGCCAGGGACCTAACCTCCAGAGGAGCAGGACAAGGAAATAAAGTTGTCACTGTAGTACACACTGGTGCATGCTAAATGGGCGCTGGATGGCAACAGACTTCTGAAAAGAAGGTTGTGGTTTCCTGAGCTTTCTCCGTGGGGAAGTGCCAGATGGGAAATGGCTGTTGTGAGCATTTGATGGTAGGGTCTCTACAAAGCTGCATGAGGGAATAGGAATGTGTCAGTTACTCTTATCTTGTTGCTGGGACAAAATACCCATTACCCCAAATTAAGGAAAGAAGGGTTTATTTAGCTGGCAGTTAGTGGAAGTTTCAGTCCGTACTCATCTGACTCCAAGGCAGAGCAGCACATCGCAGAAGGCAGCCAATCGTGGTGGTGGAAAAGTAGCAAAGAGCAAAGGGAGGAGCAGGTGCTGCAGCAGCAAGCAAGCCCTCTCCCTTCCTTCTATTGTATGCAGATTATGCACCCCAGGGTGGGTGTGGCACTCAACTACAATCGCATCATTGGATCATGAGTTAATCACAGACTCCAGAAGCTGCCCCAGTGACTGCATGAGGCTTTGAGGGCACACCTAGACACAAGCCGTAACAAGGGATGCGGCATGTTCTAGTGGCTTAGCCGCTAGGATACATAGTACCCAGTTAAAGATGAATTTCATGTAAACACTTCATGTGGTTTTATACTATGTCTCATCATGTTTCCCAAATGCTGCTTGGGACAGCATTGTATTTTTTTACATGTTTGTTGTATATTTTAAGATCAAATTTGGGGCTGGAGAGATGGCTCAGTGGTCTAAAGCACCTATTTGGAACAAGCTTGGCAAAGCATCAGGGACCGCGGTT